TGTGTGTGTGTGTGTGTGTGTGTGTGTGTGTGTGTGTGTGTGTGTGTGTGTGTGTGTGATAAAAAATGCATTAAAAATAATTTTCACTTCACTCTTCGTCTTAGTTTTTTGGACACCACTGTGTGATATTGTGGTTATGCTACTTATTCTAATTTTTCATTCTGCCATTTTCTGCCTTTCATGTGTGGTCAATCACAGGAAATCACAATTTCTAATGCATACAGCAAAAAATTTTGAATGCATTGCACAGGCACGTGAAAATGTAAAGCCGTATATCTCTTGCCTTTAGTTAAACACCACTGGCAGACACACTGACATATCTACTGAAAGACAGATATGGATTTCGAAATGAATTTTCTTTGCACCCAGTAATGTGACTTAAACACACTGTCAAATGTATTAATAGCACCATCAAACTGAGCTCTTAAAATGCATTAACGTATTTATTTGTGTAAGTCCATATTGTGGGTCAAAACGTCATGCGTTTAGTAGAGCAAAACAGAACAGATTGTTAATGAGACGGCAGAGATGAAAATCTTCATGGCCCTTTGAAAATACTTACAAAGAATATGCCTCCCTCCACCTTCCTGGTCCGTCTCACAGGTCCCTTCATAAAATATTATAACATTTCATATCAACCTCCACGTCACAGGCATACAGATTTGTCTATTATGTAATGCATATTACAATACATATATGTTCATATGGATGAGATTGCCATAGTTGGAAATAAACAGGAAAACACAGGTGGGGCAGAAAGCAAATAACAGACAAGCCTTGTTGAGAAACGAACCAGCAAACAATCCTATCATGGTGACCAACAACAATATTGGAAAAACTGCTTCTGATTAAAAAAATAACACTGTATTTCACGAAGACGCATTGGTAAGTGATATTGTAGTGCTTTGGAGGAGCTGTTCCTATAGAGGGGTTTAGCTCTGCTGTGGAGATGTGTTATATAAACCGTGTGCTTGAAAAAGCTCCTTAAATGCTTGCTCAGTAGTATGCAGTTATTCATGGTTCAAACTCTTGATATAGAGACACTGTCACAGATACAGTTACAGACACCACAGGGGCTTCAAGATTGAGTGTTAGTAGCAGCTCCTGGTAAATAAACTAAGTAAACTCTGTGTTTTCTTTCCCTTTGACCAAGCCGAAACTGAAACCCAAGCCATACACTGAACATTCCTTAAAAATATGAAGTGAGCATAGAAGATACCAGCCCTCTTCAAAAATGTGGTTTTGTTGTGGTAAGTCTCATAATATTGGAGCAATTGTCCATTTTTATTTGGAAACTGGTCCTTGAGATTTCACAATAAATACCAGTTGATAGTAAACCTTTTACAAATCATTTCAGAGATCATTTCTGGCTATGATATTGACGAACTATATGCAGATGCTTTGCAGATGTGCTTTGGATCAATTCCATATTGAAAGGTTAACTATTTTCCCAATGGGTGTTTATTAGCTAACAAGTCATGGAGCTTTAATGCGAAGATCACAAGTGAACAATTTTTTTTTAATTTGTCAAGAGGCATTTTTAATCAGAGTTGTTTAAACAATTTTAAAAAATCAATATCAGGTTGGGCTAAATTGTTTTATTATTATTATTGTTGTTGTTGTTAGGGCAAGTTGTCCTGTGCTTTTTATTGTACACCGTTAAATGTTCTTTTTTATGTTTTATAATAAGTCTTTTGAAAGAAGAATAAAGTCAAAAATTTATCAAAAAATAAAGTAAAACAGTAATATTGTGAAATATTTCTACATTTTAAAACAACAGTTTTCTGTTATAATTTTCAGTCTTCAGTGTCACTTGATCCATCAGAAATCATTCTAATATTACTGATTTGCTGCTCGGGACATATTTATTTTTATTATTTATTTAATGTTTATTCAAGATTCTTTCATTGAATACAATGTTCAAAAGAACAAAATTTATTTGATTGAATTAGATTTTTGTCATAATGTAAAAGTCTTTACTGTCACTTTTGATCAAATCAATGCATCCTTGCTGAATAAAAGTATGAATTTATTTCAGAAAGGAAACATCTTACTGACTCCACACTTTTGAATATAATGTCTGTTGTGATTTTACAACATTTATTACTTAAAAAATACATGTAAATATTTAAATGTATATGTTTGTATATTATCATTTATATGTAGCTGTCTAATGGCAGGTTCCCATTTTGACCAATTACACTATAGTATACATGCAGTAAATCAACTGTAATGCCTTTTTTGTAATCAAGACTTTAGTGTATGTAAGACTGTAATGTAAGATTTTAATGAGTCTGTACAAAAAAAAATCACTCACTCAAATAATATATTTTAATATAATTTCCATCACTTGGCTAATGTGGGTTCATTCATACAGGTCAAAGTGGCAGACTTTGGGGTGGTGACTTTCTATACCCGCAATGCTGGGAACAGGAACCATGAATCACTTCTGGGTCAGTCTGGGGCAAGCAGTGCAAGTGTTTGAAACGGGAAAATACAAGAGGATAACAAAGAGGAGAACGGCATTGCAGGTTATTAATAGATCTGGAAAAGGCCAGTGACGCTTAGAGTAAGTATAGAGCTAAAGGCTACGGCAGAGGGGAATTATCCACATGGTGTTGACCAGCTGCCTGTTGCACACACTGAGCTGCTTTTATGTCTGTTAAAGTGACTGTGCCATTTAATAACAAGTTTAAAGTTCTCTAAGTTACTAAACAAATGCACTAGGCCAGACAAAATCTCCTATTATAAAGCTCTGCTCTTGGCAGCAGTGTCACTATTTTATTCGCCATGCACAACATATGACATATGGCATTTCGATATCTTTACGGTGGTGTTGGCAGAGTCTAAATAAGCAGTGGACGACTTAAAATGAGCTGCACCTGCTGTACCTCCGATGGCATTATCTCCTTACATTAGTACTGTTACCTAATAGTGCTATCACCCCCCTCCTTTCCCATGAAACCTGTTCTGTTTCTGTTTTACAAACACTGACACCACAACCAGGCATCACAACATAAAAGGCTATGCTCCTCTTGTAATTATATTTCATGTAATTATGCTGTTCTGACAAGCTACAGATCAGTATGAAGGGAAAGTGACTGGAAATGCAGCTGGAAAAAAGGCACTGAAACACGTGCGCTACTGTATGTAAACATTCCACGCACTAAATAGCCCACAAAAGTGTGACCTCACCAGAAAAAGGACAGAAGCGATAGAAAAATTCACATCACAATGAATGTTAGAGTTGTCTATGCAAATATGATGCAAAAACTGAATGTGAATTCACAAATGGGACACTTACTGATTTGGGCTTCTTTGTAGAGCCTTCATTTTCATGGATATCCTTGCTGTCGTCCCAGGATGCTTGGCTATCACCATTTGAGGCTGAAGGGCAGGTGTTGGGCATGGGGTCTTGCCCCTTCATGACCTGAACAGGGTCAAGACTCATTCTCCCCAACTCTTCTCATTAACGGCACACTTATCCAGGGCTGTATCACGCTGTGCTGTTCTCTCTGTTCACATGCACAGCCTCTCTTCCACACACAGTGTATGTCTCCAGCTTTAGGACAGTATCCGATGCTATACTCCTGATTCAGTGTATAATGATAGTGTTGGCTTTGGTTCTATGCGGCTATATCCTCTCTGCTCTGACGTTCTGCCTGCAATCTGCTGCTGTGACGCGGTATGTGCTGATATCTACCCCTTCTCTCTCTTCCTCCCTCCCCACTCATCCCTCACTCATGCACATGCCATCCTCCTCGCTTTCCCTCTATTTGCTCTAATCTATCTGCATGTGCTCTCTCTCCCTCTCTCAAAATATAATATTCTGATTGGATCAGCATCTTCCAGCCAATGAATAATGGGCTTTCCCTGACAGACAGCTAATCCATCCCCACAGACACATACACAGACAGACAGACAGACAGACAGACAGACACACCAACAGACACACAGACAGACAGACAGGTAGATAGATAGATAGATAGATAGATAGATAGATAGATATCTTCTCGCTGTCCCCTTAATGCCATTGTAATTGGGCAAAACAACCCATAACCCAATAATCAGTTGCTAGGCAGCACTTCGACCCCATGTACAACCTTGCCAGGGATTGGCTGTTTAGTTGGCGCCCTGACAACAGCTCTGGGGCCCAGAGTGACAAACTGTCCACACTGTCCAGTGGTTGGCTGCCCTCTTCTGGGTGAAGGAGGAATTATATTCTCATTCAAGGATTCCACAATATTAGAATGACATCTAGATATTCAGCACTGCAGAGTGTGAGTGTGATATTGCTTACAATAAACACTATTCGGTAATATAAGTTTTGGACAGTTCGTTTTGTGTATTTGCACTTCCTATTCATCTTCAGAGTCACTCTGGGCTTTCCATTTCCCAATTTGGTGCACAAACCAACTCTACGTAAACTCTGCTCCTGGCTCTCTATGTACCGCTGGTTTATGAACAAGTGGAGTGATAAAAAGTGAAATGGCCCATTGTTGTATTCTGAAACACTGCTCAGCCAATCATAAACTGTCAGAAACTAACTAATTGTACAAACTGAACACCATTAGGCTATAGGTTTGAATCTGCATACATCGGCCTCATTTCACCCCATATAACAAGTGCAGAGGAGACTCGTGTTTGATCTCTCTGAGGAACGTTTAAACAACATTAAATAGCTGTCCATAAATATGAAACTAAATGAAATCCACTGAAACTGTCAAACTGGCCTTTGAATCGATTCATGGTGTTAATGTATAATTTATTTTCTGCTGCAACGCTGTAAATGAGAGTCTCCATTATTGCAACCTCGCTGAGCCTCAAGCGATATATTTACTATTAAATAGATAGAATTTAGTATGTAATCAAATTTTGTATTTTATAAACATTGGATAGTTACAGTATTTTTTAGTCTTAACAATGACGCTCATGGGACTTTTATTTTGAAGTGCAGTTTGTCACGAAAATCCCACACGTTAGCTCGCTTCACATCGTTTATAGCGGCGGCACGGAAAGACAGATAGTGCTTCCTGAAAGTCCAAACAAAACATGCGTTATTGCTTTATTTCTTAAGTTTTAAGCAAACAAAGTGTTTGAAATTAATTGGAAATTATCTGTTCATTTGAATAACAAGAATGGAGCATTCGGTGCCCAAAAAGTAAGTGAAAAGATTAGCTTGGCTTACCAGCTATCAGGCAAGCTAATATTTACAGGCCTCATCTTACTAACCAAACTGAAAGTGCAGATCAGTTAACGAACTAGAATAGATTATTGGGTTAATATCTTAATGTTCCTGATTAACTAAAGCTACAAGACCAGTTGCTGTTATGTTTATTGGTGTATATATAAGTTTAGGTTAGATTTTAACTTCTGCTGTCTGGACCCATGACGCTTTACGCATTAAATAAACTACGATTGTGTTTATGCATGACAGTAAGCTGAAGAAACTCAGTGAAGACAGTCTTACCAAGCAGCCAGAGGAAGTGTTTGATGTCCTTGAAAAGCTTGGAGAAGGGTGTGTATTAACATTATACTTCTTAAGTGATGTTGTATGCATAAGTTTTGTTTAAAAATGTCATATAATGACTTTTGTTTTTTTGGTTCAGATCATATGGCAGTGTTTTTAAAGCCATTCACAAGGAATCAGGCCAGGTTGTGGCCATTAAACAGGTTCCTGTCGAATCAGACCTCCAGGAGATCATCAAAGAGATCTCCATAATGCAGCAATGTGATAGGTAAAACAGCCTAATAATGAATAAAAAGTAACGTTTTACTAAACTCTCATTATTGGGTCTATATGAAACATTTCCCAACACTGCAGTTACTGTTTTCTTGTATTTTAACAGTCCTTATGTGGTGAAGTACTATGGCAGCTATTTCAAGAACACAGATCTGTGGATTGTGATGGAGTACTGTGGCGCTGGATCGGTGTCTGATATCATCAGACTGCGCAACAAAACAGTAAATACAATACAACTGTTGTAAATACACTACAGAACTTCATTGCATGGTTAGTAACACCAAAAAATTATAATTTTTTCTCTCTTGACAAGCTCACCGAAGATGAGATCGCCACAGTCCTCAAATCCACCTTGAAAGGTCTGGAGTATCTCCATTTCATGAGGAAAATCCACAGAGACATCAAAGCAGGGAATATTCTCCTCAACACAGAGGGCCATGCTAAACTAGCTGATTTCGGAGTGGCTGGACAACTTACCGTGAGTATTGAAACTATCTTGGCTTAATGTAGAACTTGCATAAACTGCTAGTTTTAAAGGTTTGAATATTACTCAACCTTTTTATTAAAATATTCTATATTTTAGAATAGAAATAGAAATAGAAATAGAAAATAGTCATTAAAAATATAAAACATCATGCACTTTTTGCTTGTTTGTCTTTTTTTTTGTTCTTTTTCATTGTTATTTGTTGAATACAAAAAATAAATAGTGTAATTCCATAGTGTGGACGTGTGGGAATTATGTTGTTTTAAACGAATACATTTTGTATTTTTAGCTTTTTCAACAACAAAAAAAGCCTCACTTTTTTCTTTATCATTGAGCCCAAATCATTCATTAAAAAAAATTACAATTTAGTTTTGTAAAAACAAAACATAATTTATATTAATATTCTAAGTATTTAAGTATCCAAATGAAATTTTTTTTCTCTCATCCATGATCATCTAAGATCAGTTTCGGTCAAGTGTATCCAAACTGGTCGTGTATATCATGTTTCATGAACTAATCATGTTTATTTATAATGTCCACAAAAGGACACAATGGCGAAGAGGAACACGGTTATAGGAACACCCTTCTGGATGGCCCCTGAAGTAATCCAGGAGATCGGCTACAACTGCGTGGCAGATATCTGGTCTCTCGGCATCACATCCATAGAAATGGCCGAAGGAAAGCCTCCTTATGCAGACATTCATCCAATGAGAGTGAGTGGAACATGCTGAGAAGTCCTTGATGTGGAATTTAAACAAGAAACTGGTTGCTGATGGTGTCTTGTTTTGTCTTTTTGTGTCATCAGGCTATTTTTATGATCCCCACAAACCCTCCACCCACTTTCCGCAAGCCAGAGCTATGGAGTGACGAATTCACAGATTTTGTGAAGAAATGTCTGGTGAAGAACCCAGAGCAGAGAGCAACGGCCACTCAACTGCTCCAGGTATAGGAAGAGCCAAAAATATTGCTAACTACTAGTTCCTGTGTATGATTCATACAGCTATTTATTTATTCCCTGCTTTATTTTGGGGATTTGTTTTTTGTTTTTCCATCCAAGTCGTGATCATAAACATCTGGTATGCTTTTCATTGTCTATCCGGCAGCATCCATTTATAACCAATGCTAAGCCGGTGACCATCCTGCGGGACCTGATCACAGAGGCCATGGACATGAAGGTCAAGAGACAACAGGAGCAGCAGAGAGAGCTGGAGGAGGATGACGAGAACTCGGTGAGATAATTCACCGACGTTGTATATTAGTTCTTCAGTTTACGTCAGCGTTTGTGTTTTAGCTGATGTCGTATGTGACTGCATTGTGCAGGATGAGGAAGTGGAAGTGGATTCCCACACCATGGTGAAGTCTGGTTCAGAGAGCGCTGGAACCATGCGAGCCACAGGCACCATGAGCGACGGTGCTCAGACCATGATCGAGCACAGCAGCACCATGCTGGAGTCTGACCTGGGCACCATGGTCATTAACAGCGATGATGATGATGATGAGGAGGAGGAGGTAGATCTCGGCTCGATGAGGAGTGAGTATTTATGTCTTTTTCTTTACGTTAACACTTTTGTGCTGCTTTGAGAGATGTTTAATCTGATGTTTTTTTCCTTTAAACAGGAAATCCTACATCTCAGCAAATTCAGCGTCCGTCCTTCATGGACTACTTCGACAAACAAGACTCAAATAAAGCACAAGAGGGTTACAATCACAACCAGCAGGACCCGTGTTTAATTTCCAAGACCGCTTTCCCTGATAATTGGAAAGTGCCACAAGATGGAGATTTCGATTTTGTAAGTGCTCTGATGATGCTCTTATGATCAGTTGTTTATGCATAAAGCTGAATCAAATGAGTCACTGTGTGTTTCTGTCTGTGAAGCTGAAAAACCTCGATTTTGAGGAGCTTCAGATGCGCCTTTCTGCTCTGGACCCCATGATGGAGCGAGAGATTGAAGATCTGCGGCAGCGCTACACAGCCAAGAGGCAACCCATCCTTGACGCCATGGATGCGAAGAAACGCCGGCAGCAGAACTTCTAACCGACTTCACAGATGCTGAAGCTTCAAAGCTGGCTGACCAGATCTTATGTCCCCTTCTGTGTTCAGTCTTTGTACTGATGCATCTTATTCTAGACTCCTGCTGTTTGTACATTCGAAGAAGGTCCCAGTGGATGTATAAAACCTAAAATCACGATTTGTTAGTTTGTTCTTTAGAATTCAAAGGTCACAATATTAGGAGTTCACTTTAAACGGAACAAATTATTCACAATCTTAATCAGTCTCACTCTCTATTGTTATGAAGTTTAGGCTTTTCTACCTTAACTTTAAAATTCAAGCCATCTCTACATCCGTGGTTAATACTTTCTTAATACTGTAAATGAATCCAAGGCGAAAATTACTGTGAAAATGTGAAGTTTTGTGGCTGAATTTTTAAGAAATGCTGGTTGGACTGCTGCAAAGTCATTTTTAGTGTGAATGGATTACTAAACCAAAGACAATCAAAAGTAGAGAATGCCTTAGAGCGCTTGATAACCCTCTTTTTGAAGTTTGCATCACCAAGCTATAGGTTAGTATTCTGCTAATGTGGGACCATTTTAGAGTAGAGATGCCACTGTCATCGTTTCTGGTATTAATTTAGAAAGAAACGGGACCGTTCCTGCAGCTATGCATCCCATCAAAATTCCTTGTCAGCACAAAGTGAGGTTTGAAACATCTGTCCACAGCTTTGTAAATATGCATGGCTTATTTATGCTGAATGTCACTTTCTCGGTTTCTGAATGTTTCTGTGTGACGTCTTCCCTATGGTCTCTTCGCTGCCACTGGCTTTTTGATAACTTGTGGCAAGTATTTGTGAGGAAGTGAGAACTACTTTTCCTGTGCCCCATTTTAAAGTCCTCGTTTTATCTCAGGCGTTGCTTGGCTTTGAACTGTCTCTCTTCTGGTCTTTTTCAAAGATCGAGTCATTCCAATACAGTGATTTTGTGTTTCTCATTATGGTAATGGTACCATCATTACTAGGCCTACTGAGTCTCCATAACTACCAAAAGCAATACAGCAACTCAAGGACATAGTAATGTAACAATGCCAGTAATGTGAATGACCTAAACCAGTTGCTGAATCTTTTCAGAGAAGGATGAGTTGTTTTAAATAGACTTTAAAATGACTCTCAAAATGTTTATGCCCTGATTGTGGACTGATGATGTCTATAAATCTGAGTTGGTTTGAAGTATAGTCTGCTAATGATTTTTTTTTTTTTACAAAAGCTTATTCATAAAATAGTTAGGGATGTTACCAATGCCTTACATTTCCTGCAGTTGTGAGTTATATCAGTTTATTTCATACTCTGACATTTACATAGGCACATTTTTACTCAACACTCTAATTTATTGTGCGTTATTCATAATGTATGTTATTTTTTGCACTCTGCATAGAGTTTTTGAATAAAGGTCTGTTACTTGTCTCCTTAAACTCCATGTGGACTTATTTCACAACAATACACAGACAAACCAAACAAAGGGAAAATTTAAATGGTGATTTCCAGTCCTAGAAAATTAGTAAAATGTTGTTCAAATTTTTTTCAGCTCCAAAAAAAAAATTCTTAAATAGAAATTGTTCTTTTTGAGAGCAAAAAAAAACAACCTCTTTTATTTTCCAAGATTAAACTTTTCAGTCTGAAGTTACAAAAACATAATACTTATGGTTTGAATATGATTTTAACATTCCCCCAAACAATTTAAACTATAAACACTTTTTTTTTAACTACAGTAATTAAGCTAATATTTATACAATTATATTTAGGCCTAAAACCATAAAAAACTGAAGATGACGTCTTGCTTGACTGGTTACATGAATTACCGTAATCACTCTATTACACAGAGCTCTGCTTTATTCTGTCATGTGACAACTACTATATTTATGCATAAAGACCTGTATCAGCTTGTTTAACCATACATGTTCTGTCTACGATTTATTTCCTTGAACTTTCTTCTAAATAGAGTTACATACTGTGCGACATGTTATTGAAGGATCGTAAATACATGTGTAATGTCTCTATATGTGGGTCGTTATGGTAGGAATCGCTGACGCCTACTGGAAGTGAATCCCAACAAACCTGCTTTACTCTCATTCATTAACTCGAGTAGAAGTTTACTGGCAGCTGTGCTTCGCGGCGGGTGTCGTTGGGATCTCAGTGTTCAGAGATGTCTGCGGTTATTAGGAAGATCATTCACACTGCAGCTGCTCCAGCCGCCATCGGGCCCTACAGGTGAGAGTCTGTCTGCTGTTCAGTCAAACCAGCATGTTTACGTTCCTCAGCAAACGCACATGTGACATGCTCTAGCATATGGATATAAAACACCACCAGCTATGCATTTAACAGCCAGCATTGAGCAACAAAAGACCTGACGTAGGCTGCAATGCAATATTTGTTCGGGGCGTGTCTTTACAAAGCGCACTCAGCAACTTTGTGCTGGAGATTTGGTGCGATTTACTTTTCATAAACTGGATGAGATGGATTTTATTCAGAGAAAAATTCCATATACACCTAAAGCCCCTATTAGACAAGGCATATACAGGTAAGAGTCTTCTCATTCACTTTAATGTTACAGAACAATAGCATTTAGATTCAAAACGGTTTTAAATTGTAAAATAGGGATTTTATGCATGCATTGATAATATTTCTGTAACGCTCCATAACACCACCGTTTTATCATTTTAACTGGGAGCTTCAACCCCCTTTATACAAATATAAAAAGGTTTCTCCAAAGGAAAAAAAAAAAGACATTTACCATTTACTGATGTAAGAGCTTTTTATTTTAATTAATGTATTTATTTATTTTGCATAAAATGCACTTGAAAGTGGTTACAATAGGGGTGTTGATGTTTTAACCAATATACAGTAAGAGGAGGTGTCAAGTTCATTGACTTGACAAGAGGTCAATGCGGTATCTTCTGCTTTAACAGTATGGTTATGTTAAAAATGGCTTTGGAAAAGTATTTCTGGCACTGGATTAGTGTTTTTTTTTTGCATATATTCTACATTATATACATTTCACTTTATGCTCAGCTGATTACTGTACATCATTAAACCAGCATGAATCAATATTGATTAGATTTAATGTATGAGCTGACCTATGATCTTGCAGTTGTGTAAACGTTGTGCTAAAACAACTGGCAGTCATTTTTGCATTGTGTAACTTGCTGAAGTTGTCTTGTATTAGACACATATTAACTTGGACTATGATCTCAAGCTGAACTTACAATTGATCTTTGTGGTCTGCGATGCTACTGTGTGATATTTTAGATTATATAATATTCACTATCCAATTTCTGATTAATAATATCCAAATTTACTATGCCCAACCTTAAATAATGCAAGAAAACTTGATTGGCTGTTGGGCTAGTTATAACTGCAGTGCACTGGTTGTGCCGGCAGAAGGCAGAGGAAGACAACATTTCCCACAATGCATTGCAATGTATATTAGTAAAACATCCTTATTCCTTCCAAAATCAGAGTTCACTATTAATTCACATTTTAAATTATATTGCTACTACATTCAGCCAGGCTGTTTTGGTGGACCGTACAATGTACATCTCAGGACAGATCGGCATGGACGTTGGTGGACAGTTGGTGGCAGGAGGAGTGCAGGCTCAGGCCAAGCAGGTGACAAAACGCATATAGTGGCCCTTAAATAATTGTTGACATTTTGATGAATATCATACACATACACAATCATGTATTAGAATTATATTTTAAGTAATTAATATATTAAGTATATATGGTCAGTTTGGATTTCACATTGACTTTAATACACAAACTAACAAGTTTTATTACACAAAGCAGTTATTTTCACTTAAAAATCCAATATTTGATAAATGTAGTTATGCATGTTTGTGTTTTTCCTTACAACTTCATAGGCACTCATTAATATGGGGGAGATTCTGAAAGCTGCTGGATGTGGATATGAAAATGGTAAATCATCAAGCATCACCTGCTTAAAGTAATAGCTCACCCAAAAATTTTAATTTGCTGAAAATGTACTCACCCTCACGCCATCTAGGATGTATGCTGTATTCCATATGGGAACCCAAAGCAACGGTTTGAAGTTAGAAATGTTGTAATGATGGATTTGTTTCTTACAAACATGTAGCTTTTCACCTCACAAGACATTAATTGATGGACTGTAAATTACTTGTGGATTATTGTGATGTTTTTATCAGCTGTTTGGACTCGCATTCTGACGGCACCCATTCACTGCAGAGGATCCATTGCTGAGCAAATGATGTAATGCTACATTTATCCAATTTTTTTTTCTGATGAAGTAACAAACTTACCTACATCTCAGATGGCCTGAAAGTAAATTTTCAGCAAATTTTCATTTTTGAGTGGTCTTTTTTTTTTTTGAGTGAAAATTTTCTTATAAATTTTCAGGCATTTTATAAACTGTACTTTTATTTTATCTTTTTTTAATTTATTTTTTTGCAGTTGTCAAAACCACAGTGTTGTTGGCAGACATTAATGACTTCAATAATGTCAATGATGTTTACAAGCAGTGTGAGTATGAATAAAAGAATCATGGTGGAATAACTCCTCACAGAGTGTCATACACACATACAACCACAGATTTGCCTTCAGTTTCAGTAGTCTTGCTAATGTAGAAAACCTCATACTTGGGAATGACATTGGTGTCCTTTGTTGTGGAGTTAAAAACAATCATGACATTTGTGTTCCCTGTATATACCTTCCTCTAAAATAACTTTACTTCCCATCCTGCACTTTAGTGCTAATGCTTTATGCAAGTTATTGATTATTCAAATGTTCCACAATGATGCCTCTGTGCATCCCTGGGTATTTCCTCTTGAACACAAAGCTGATGGGTAATCCTATCTTGTCTGCATGTAAAGGGATACAGTGCAGTTCTGTGAAACGAAAGCCTCCTCTTTACGAGGACAACCCATCATCACTGCCTCCTACCACACAAAACTTTCCGTGATGTGACATGCAAACCTGCAGCGTCAACAAATACTCTGAACTGAATTCACGTCGTTCTCTCTTTAAAAGTTATGATGCAATTAATGGTACATAAACACAGGCATAAGAGGCTGATTTTCATTATCACAAGAACTATACCAGATGAAGATTATATCTTATATAGCTCAACTTTACTGCCAGTTTTGTTTATCTTTGTCATCAGTAAAGAACACAGATTGTTTTTTTATTTCTCGGTTTCTTTCTTCAGTTTTCAAGAGCAATTTCCCAGCTAGAGCTGCCTATCAAGTAGCTGCCCTGCCCAGAGTGAGTATTAAACACAGACTAGTTAGTGGTGTTTGCCAAGTTAACTATACACTACGGTTCAAAAGTTTGGGGTCAGTAAATCAGCCTATTAGATGATTTCTGAAGGATCATGTGACATTTTAAAATATTAAAATAGAAACATTATTTTAAATTGTAAAAAATGTCTCACATTATTACTGTTTTTAATCAAATAAATGCAGCCTTGGTGAATATAAGAGACTTCTTTCAAAACATTTAAAAGTCTTACGGACCAAAACCTTTGAACAGTTGTGCAAGTAAACTTGGCACACAATCCATCTCACACTGCTTGAGCTATGGAGATGAAGAATACCTCAAATGATATGACTTCTTGTGGAGAGTTGTGCTGTTACTTTACTGTAAGTGATCAACTTGAGTAAAAAAGCGAGGAAAATCCCATAAATCTGCATTGTGTTTATACCTCATTTAAACACTTTCTGTTTTACAGGGGGGACTTGTTGAGATCGAAGCGATCGCTGTGTTGGGGCCCATCACGGATGCCTCCTGACTATATGAACCCAGCATGAATCATAAATTGTAAATACAGTTATACGGAGACAAACCACATCCCAGATTACAAAATCAATCAGACATTTAACCTCCCATTAAACTGATAACAGGGAAGTCACCAAGTCTTCCATGTTGCTAATATAAACATGCTATTGAGAGTTTCCAATTTACGGTTGATCATCATTATATATTCTGTAATAGCAACAATTCAAAACCCAGTTCAATTCAGCTTTATTTTTAAACTTGTCATTATCACATTAAATCAAACCACAACACAAAAACAACATTACTTGCATTTGTTGAGTTCAATCGGTCATGTTTGTTGCAGGAAAACATTAGCATACAATAAATAAAACCAAAAGGCCTGTTTTTCAAATATGTCCATTGTCATTTAAAATGTATGTAACATTTTATTTCAGTTGGTTAAAATATTACAATTATATAAATAGCATTCCACAATTTTCATATTCTCTTTGGCTTTTTGCATTTTTTATAGAGGGGTAAAGCCACTAAAATAGGCACCGGTATTAAATATTGAAGGAAATATCTAGCTAAAGCCAGCAATAATAATTCAATAAACTATAACTGGAGTGGGATGTTTGTAATCTTTGTATATAAAGACAGGTACAGAGTCTCTGAAGACCAGTTGGTCTATATCTTGGCAACGAACAAGCAATATCTATTTAATAAATAAGCTAATGTTTCACTGTATTTTTAAACTATGCGTATGAAATCTTGATTTGATTGAAAATAGGTGGTTGAGTCTGGATTCTGTAGTAACTGTGCCAAATGATGCACACTTAACTATCTTCACCAGAGGCTGAAAGAGATGAAGTGGTATGGGCAATCAGACAAGACATTTATCCTCAGGAGAAGATTTTTAGGTCTGTCTTGCATCGTATTACGCTACTTACCAGGTGCTTCCTCTGGTGGGGAAGATTCGGCCTGGGCCTCAGTTGTGTTTTCTGTGGAAATAGAGATGCATGTAATTATTTCCATTAATTTAGGCTTAATTCATATTTTTTTTATTCATAATGGTTGATACAATCCAAAAAAAAATTGGTAATAAATTTGTTACCAAAAAAAAAAAAAATTTATTAAAATGAACTGAAATTCTCATATATATATATATATATGAATGAATATATATGATAAATGTATCGGTCTACAGAGAACGTTAGCTGATTGTATCTTTTTAGGACAAGTCCTGTGTGTTTCTCACGTTAGACTTTCTAAAACAAATAAAAAATATAAAATGAATATTTAAAATCAGTTGCTGTGTCCAGCGGAGTATTAGTTCGTTGCATTCTGTTCTGTGGTTAGTCATTATGTTATTTGACAATGTCAAAGATTTTTTCCACATTGCACCCAAGACATTTGCATCCGTGGATAAATTGTCATTTACATTTAAAATTCAGGCAGTGAGGCATGCTATGGCCCTCGCCACATTTAAGATCTGGCCAAAGGAACTACTGTTAAAGATGAAAATAATGCACTAGTCCTAATTCCATTTTTACTGTGTATTCATAAACCAGAAATCAAGCTCTCTCTCAAGGTTCAGTTCTCCTAACCTTTTTCAGACCATCAGATTTCAGAACATCTGCTAGAAACCCTTAGTAAAACGTTCGGTAACGGCTGGAAAGGGGAAACTAAGCAGGGCAGTGTTGTACTCCTGGGTCACCGAACAGTTAGTAGGACACTTGTCAGGTTACTTAAGAGTTAAACAATCACACTATTACCTGCTTAAACTAGTGCCATCACCTTTCACTTAAGTATGAATGTGTAAAATGGTGCTTTAACTTCTTGTAACAATACAATAGGTATTCCAGGAAGCCTTCATTGCAAAAGAGAATGTGCACAGTGTTTTGCATCTAGAGAGACGTCCCTTGAAAGTACCAAAGCCATTTGCATGCACAAGCCCAGAACACAAGGTATTATGTACTTTAATCTTGAAGAACTACTCTGAGCCAGTTTTTCTATGAGACTTTGCTCACTGTCCCTTTAAGTTATGGAAACTGGCAGAGAAACCTTTAGTGCTGTTGTCTGTAATTGTGAAACGTACCACTTGGTGCTGGTTCGTCTGTATTCTCAGCTGTCGTAGAGGGGCTGGATTCGGCTTCAGCAGGCTGGTCAGATGTAACGGCCTCAGCAGCAGCTGCTTCTGGTTCACTGTGAGCTACAGCAGCCTCAGAGCTCTGTATTTCCTCCGAGGCTTCAGGAGGTGCACTGGATGTCTGTGGAGATTCCTCAGCCTGGGTTTGGTCTGGAATCGTCTCACTGTCTGCTGCAGGACCACCGTTTTCATTACTTGTTCCTTAGAGATTAAGACAAATGTTTTCACAAGGGTTATCATCGTGAACTGAAACTAAAAGCATTAAAAGAATTCATTACTTGAAATAAAATCAACTTTAACTAAAATAAAATGTAATAAATAAAACTAAAAATGAGAAATGTTGCGAAAATAAGCTGAAGTTGAAGCACTTTACTAAAACTAAAAACAAACTTAAACTACTCAGAAAAAAAAAAATAATATAATAATTTAAAAAAAAAGTGACAACCACAATTTTCAAATATCTAAATTCAAAATAAATTTGTATGTCAATGATAAAAAAAAATACCTTTTTAAAATATTGTACATATAGCCTTTTTTTACATATAATTATTTATTTTGATTATAAAACATTCAAAAGGAGTACAACTAGGGCTGCACGGAGAAAGAACTTGTGATATATTGTGTCATTTCCACACCAGCATTATATTTATTTATTTATTCAGACAGGTTTCCACAGCACAAACCATCTCAATTTCAATACTGATAAAATATTCCTATTTGAGTTCAGTATACTCAGCTCGGTTCAACACATTTTACTATATTTAAATCTTTTCCACAGAATTCACATTTCATCAATACAGAAATATGAAAAATATGTTGTGTCCTTTCTCTTTTCCCATCTTCTGTGTGTCAAGTGTCAGTAAGGTAGAAGACAACTCTTTCTGAGACCTACTTTTAATTTAACAGAAACCCTTAAACTAAAGCTTGGTCTAGTCTATTATAGAAACTACACTACTAGTAATTATATGAAACTGAAAGCAATACACTGACATTCTGGTTAAATAATAAAACTAAACGTAACAACAGGTGCTGAAAGAAAATGGATGTATTAAAACAGGCAAACTAGCAGAGCTTTATGGCATCGGACATCTGTGATCTAAAGCACACAACATTTACATTAAACCTTCTTCTCAGTTCCATAAGCACACACTGTTTAAATGTCACCACACTTGAGGGATCACCCAAAATGTATTTCCTCAAATTCCAAGAACTCACCCACTGTGATAGCTCAGGAAACAGACATGTAACATCAACAAAGCAAAATACAAATTTCCTTCATTTGTTTGACAAATTTAATTCAATACAACCAAACTCAAAATTCTATTTAAATGTATTTGTTCTTTGCGTTTTTTTAAAACAAATTTTATGAATGTTCACGAGATTGCAATCAATATCAACATTTTAGGTTAAAACATGTTAATGTATAAAGGAAGGTGTGTTTTGTGTGTATATTTTAGGTGTTCTGACCAGTCACCATTTTAAATATTTTACCATTTCTAATCACATTTTTTGCTGCTGCAGTGTGACAAATCCATTTTTAAAAGTACAAATATTTTGTTCCTGTAGCTCAACTGAGTCATGGGTTTGTAGTAATTGCATTTTGCCACTATGGATTAAAACATCTGCCAAACACATAAATGTAAATGTAACATGGGATCATAAAAACTGCATGCATGCTGATTATAAAAACCGTATAATATAGTGTTTCTCTGAAAGAATGTTAATAATTTAAAAGCAGTTATCAAATTGCAAATTGAAATTGTCATCTAAACCAGTGGTTCCCAACCCTGGTCCTGGAGGCACCCCAACACTGCACATTTTGCATGTCTCCTTTCTCTGACACACCACTTTCAGGTCTTGGAGTCTCTACTAATGAGCTGATGACCTGAATCATGTATGTTTGATTAAGGAGACACGCAAAACGTGCAGTGTTGGGGTGCCTCTAGGACCAGGGTTGGGAACCACTGATCTAAACCATAAAACATCCTTTTTCTTGTAACTTTCAGTTGAAGTCTTATGGTTTAAGCTCTGGGCAAGCCGTTTAACCTTACAGGTTTCTCCATGGGGACTTTTAGTGTAATGAATACTGTACGTTTCTCTATGAGACGTGGAGTCAAGTAGATCTAAACTGTATGGTGGACTGATGACAGCATTCTGGATAAGGATCTGGGTGCCTTACACAATAGTTGAGGGTTCAGTTTCAAGTTAGGGTGACCCAGGATCCAAAAAAGTAACTAAGAAGATCACAATCTTCCTCTATCACTTAAGGATCTGCCATGCATTTTAGCATTGGTGTCTACATTATGACATCTATATCACACTATGTATGCAGTGCCCACTTACCTAAAAAAAAAAAAACACCTTGCAAATCAACAATATTTGACAAAATATAGCTCAATTGTGATTTTTTGGGTTGTGTATTCTTACCTGATGTGCTTCCATCTTGTTTGGTGTTGGGTCGTGTTGTGTCTTGAGCTGTGGTCTGAGTGCTAGAAGTGCATCCCATCGTGTCTTCCTCTGACAGGACTGAAGTCAAGCACTTTAGTGAGTGTTGTTGTGCCCAGCGGCGCACATCGACTTCAAGTGCAGGAGGAATGTGCTAATTAAACGCGCAGTTGATACAGACAGCACTCATTCCCTGGTCAGGGAACACATTGGGTGTATCTGAGTGTGTATGAGCGGTGCTCATATGCAAACCTGCTCTTATTCCCGATAACTTTACAAGTCACAGTTGAATTTGCAATGCTAAAACATCAGCGAAGAGCTGCCCTCTCTGGTTTAAATGCTAAGAAATTACAGGTAACACTTTGTGTTCAACTTAAGTTCTAACAACCAAAAATATCGATATAAATCCGATAACATTGTTTAATGAGTACATTTACGCTAACTTTAAAATAACATCCCGTCGGCTACTCTACGTGTTGGTTGAATAATGATTTTGGCGACATCTGCAGGTGACTTCTGGAGTAGCGCTGGCCAACCCGAACTAGACTGTCATAAAAATAACTGTAGGCTGTACATCTACATCGCAATAAATATTCCTACCGTCCATAACTATATCATGAACTATAGTACATCATGTCCGTGCGCAGACAACGCTATACGTGCTTATGAACATCACTGCTAATATTCAGTTGTACAAGTCATTTTTTCCCCTTTTATAAAATCAAAAGTATTTTCCAAAAGAAAAGGTTTCATTTTAAAACCTTTTCTTTCGGAAAATACTTTGATTTTATAAAAGGGGGTTAAAATGACTTAC